ATCAGGTCATGATCCCAGCATCCTGGGATCGAGTCCCACATCGGGCTCCTTGCTCATCAGGGAACCTGCTTCTCCCTCTGCCTCTGCCTGCCATTCTGTCTGCCTGTGCTTGCTCTCTCTCCCTCTCTCTCTCTCTGACAAATAAATAAATAAAATCTTTAAAAAAAAAAAAAAAGAATGAGGCTGGACCTCTACCTCACACTATACATGAAAATTAACTGAAAATGGATCCAAGATGTAAATGGAAAAGCCAAAACTATAAAACTTTTAGAAAAAAAACATAGGTATGAATCTTCATGACCTTAGATTTGGCAAAGATTTCTTACATATGACACTGAAAGCATAAGCACCAAAGGAAAAATTGATAAATTGAACTTCATCAAAATTTATTAAGAAAATAAAAAGACAACCTATAGAATGGGAGAAGATATTTACAAACCACCCTCTGGTAGGGGTGTTGTATCCAGAATATATAAAGAACTCTTAAAACTCAACAATTAAAAAAAAAAAAAACAGTTAAAAATGGGCAAAGGATTCCTACAGACAGTTCTCCAAAGAAGATCTATAAATGGCCAATAAGGGCATATCAAGATGCTCAACATCATTAGTCTTTAGGGAAATGTGTATTGAAACCACAATGAGATACTACTTTTCACATTCAGTAGAATGGCTATAGTCAAAAAGATGGACAATAATAAGTGTTGACAAGGATGTGGAAAAACAGGAACCTTTTTACATTGTTCGTAAGAATGTAAAATGGTGCAGCCTCTAAGGAAAACAGGTTACTGGTTCCTCAAAAAACTAAACATAGAACTGTCATTTGATCCAGCAATTCCACTCGTAAGTATACACCCAAAGGAGTTGAAAGCAGAGACTCAAACTAACACTTGGGTGATTTCATTAATTGCAGCAATATTCATAATAGACAAAAGGTGAAAACAACCCAAGAACCTACCAACTGATAAACAGATAAACAAAACGCGATATGTTTATGCAATGGAATGTCATGCAGCTATAAAAGGAATGATGTTTTGATACACCCCACAATACAGATGAACTAGAGGACATTATGGTGTGTGAAATAAACCAGACAGAATAGGGCAAATACTATATGATTCCACTTATGTGAGTGTACCCAGAATAAGCAAATGTACAGAGAAAGAAAGATTAGAGGTTAGCAGGAGAGTCATTGCTTAATGGTTATGGAGTTTGTCTAGGGTGATGAGAAGTTTTGGAAGTAGATGGTGGTGATGGTTATGCAACATTGTGAATGGAATCAATGTCACTGAACTGTACGCTTAAAATGAAAAATTTTGTTATTTACATCTTATTGCAATTTTTAAAAATTAATAATACACCTAAAGCCACAGGATCCTATACTTTAAACGGGCAAACTGTACGGCATGTTGAATTGTATCACTATAAAGCTGATTTTTAAAACAGGAAGAAAAAAAAAGAAAGGAAATCTGGGTCTATAAAAAGGATATGGGAGACTCTTAAATGCATACTGTCAAGGAAAGAAACAAGTCAGAAAAAGCTACATACTGTATGATTCCAACTAGACGATATTCTGGAAAAAGCAAAATGATAAGTACAATGAAAAGATGCATGGTTGCCAAGGGTTCCAGGCAGAGGAGAAAGAACCAAGAGGTGGAGCACAGGACATTCTCAGAGCAGCGACGTCATTCTGCTTGATACTGGAATGGTACATACATGACAAGCATTTTTCAAAACCCACAGAACTGGAAAACACAAAGGGTGAACCTCAAGGTAAACAGAGGACTTTAGTTAATGTATTAACACTGATTTCTCAGCTGTAACAAATGCACCCACTAATGCAAGACGTTAATAGGAGAAACAATAGGGAAGGGATAGGGAAGGGTATGTGGGAACTCTGCTCTTTCTGTGTAATTTTTCTATAAACCCAAAACTGCTCTTCAAAAAGTCTATTCTAAAAATGTATACTTAACACAAAGACTACACTGAATTTTATCCTCTTCTCATGATTCCTAAGACGATTCACTTTAAGCACAAATTTTAATTTTACATCAGACAAGGAGAAAGTGCTGATTCTTCCAGCATTGTAATCCCAGACACTATCAAACCATCTCAGTTCAGTACTCCACATGGCTTCCCCTCGTTCACCCCCTTCCTCCACCCCCGACAAAATTATAACCTAAATTTTTGAATTCATATAAGTACTTTCATCTAGATCATCTTTGAAGATTCTGTAGTCTTTGGAAACGCTTCCTTACATTTATGACTGAATTCCAGTCTAATTATAATTATGAATTATAGTGACATTATTATACCAAGCTGCCATGCCTCCTGTTTTATTCACTTTGTTCATTTTCTATTAGGTATCATTTTATCAGGAAGCTAGGTGTGTTAGTTTTACACATCTTTTTGGGGGAAAAAAACAAACAACTGTTCTCCAAGACCCTCAAGCGTCAACACAAAGGGAAGCTATAACTGTCCCAGAAGAAAGGTGGCTAAAAATTTTCAGGACAACTTTTCCCCAGCTCCTGGTTTAAAATGATCCCCTGCCAAACCTCTAATCTTTATTGGCACGCTGTATGCATTTCTTTTACCTTGGTCTTTTCCAGCTTCATCAATGTGTTGAAAATCTTTCAGTGTTTGAAGGTTACAGAACCCCTCTCTGCAATGCTGAATAACTTTCTTTGATCCGTTCTTGATGAGATAATCCATCAGCGTAAGGGATTTATATACATGGCGCCAGTTCTTCCCGTGATCGTTGAGTCTCTGCCATAGCATACTCATAATCTCTGACAGAGAAATTGTGTTGAAAGTCAGGTCACTGATATCTAACATTAGAGAACTAGAAGGACCCCAAGGATCATTAGAAGTTGCTTCTCTGACTTTTATTTCAGCATCTGAGTAATTTTTCACGAAATTTTTCACTTGCCTCCTGAATGCCATAGGTAAGACAAGTTTGAAGTTGAGATGGGGATGAGAGCAATGGAATAGGAGTTATGATAATTGGTTTATAAAACTCTTGAGAGGTAATTGGTCCCCAGTTCTGCTGCTCCCAAATACAAATGATTAATCTCCATTTTGATGAGACATCAATTTCCTGCAAAGCAAAGCACAAAAAAATATGTACATTAAATGCTTTTTGAAATGTCTATAAAAGACCAAGTCAGTCTGAAAAATCTAGGTTTACTTAGAAATCAGCCCCTCACTTACATCAGCCAGAATTGAGGCACCATCTAAATTCTCCTAGCAGCAATATGGGAAAATCTCTCATAAGGGATTGGTCTATATTACTTAAAGAAATATACATGGTCTTTCTAGTCCTAAAAATTTCTGCAGAAGATAGCATTCGGCCTCTTTGGCCAGGAATAAGACAATTTTAAAACATTACAGGACAGTGGGCAAGTTAGGAAAAGAAAATGGGACTTGTACTCTGACATTCCCTGCTTAAGATTTGTTGTCATGTATAAAAATGGTATGTCTTGGGGCACCTGGGTGGCTCAGTGGGTTAAAGCCTCTGCCTTTGGCTCAGGTCATGGTCTCAGGGTCCTGGGATGGAGCCCCGCCCGCATCGGGCTCTCTGCTCTGAAGGGAACCTGCTTCCTCCTCTCTCTCCGCCTGCCTCTCTGCCTACTTGTGATCTCTGTATGTCAAATAAATAAATAAAATCTTTTTTTAAAAAATGGTATGTCCTAAAGGTAATTAGGATGGTAACAACTGTGTTGGGATCATTATGTGACCCTATGGTTGATTCTTCTTAGAACTACACGTCACTAGAATCGGATCTAAATACATTCTGCTTTCTTGTTAACCTGAAAGTAGAGAGGGCTGTCAACTATTAACACAAGTACTTGCACCACAGGGAACCCGACATCTAACTCATGGTACCCTCGATGAGTATTTTAGTACCGGTAAGGTTAATAAGGTTCAAGGAAAAGGATAAATTACTTTCTTTACTGGGCCTTAGGAAAGGAACTATGCATTTAGGAGTAAAGGATGTCAGTAGTATGATTCAAATCCGGTAAAAATTTCCCTAAAAACTGGAGTGATCAGCATGTATCTGTCACATTCCAAAACAAGTACACACAAAGAGAGGCCCATTTAGGTTGATACAAAATACATTAAAACCTAAAGGAGGTCTGCAGCCCCCAAACCTTAAATGAAGTTTATGAATGATCAATTCACAGTTCACATGAAACCATTCCCTACCTTCTTTTTCACTGTTTCGCATTAAGGTGGGTTAGTTAGTTTGCAATTTCCCTGGTGATTCACCCCTGATGGTCACCAAGATAGTATACTAAATTGATTTCAAGCCCTGACAAGCATCCAGACCCAATGAAACCTCGATGATCTATAATCAGATTTTACAAGAGAAACTGCATGCACAGAAAAGAAAGACATTAAAATGGGGCGCCTGGGTGGCTCAGTGGGTTAAAGCCGCTGCCTTCGGCTCAGGTCATGATCCCAGGGTCCTGGGATCGAGCCCCACGTTGGGCTCTCTGCTCAGCAGGGAGCCTGCTTCCCTTCCTCTCTCTCTCTGCCCGCCTCTCTGCCTACTTGTGATCTCTGTCTGTCAAATAAATAAATAAAATCTTTAAAAAAAAAAAAAAAGAAAGAAAGACATTAAAATCGTAACAAATTTGTCTTGTTTTCAGTTTTGTTTCTCTGCCTTGACCTTCACAGCTCCTAGCTCAGGTCTGATTAATTTCTGTGTATGTATTTAAGAAGACATAAATTTTCAGAAGCAAACTATATGAGCTATCCTTTCTTTTTCAAAAAATAAGAGAAAGGGTAATTAACCTTTTTTTTTTTTTTTGGTAAAAGTATAACACATCCTCAAATAAGTAAGATGGAAAATGTATCAGTTTAATTAACATTTCTCAGAAAGAAACTATCGTCAACCCTAGGAAGAAAAAGAGAAGTTGTGTGTTTTCACAATTTTGATTTTCTCTGTTTGCACTTCAAACACAGGCATTTTTATCTGACTCATTCCTGCAGTGAAAACCAGACTTGTAATGTGTTTCAATAAGCCATTAAAATTTTCAGTCGTGAGTGTTTTCTTTTTCTACTGTCTTTTTTTCCCTTCCAACAAGCTCACGCGATGCAGAGATGCACTGTGACATTGGCTTAGAGAAACAAATATTGATCTGTTTCCTCACAATTCTATTAAAAAAAAAACCTGTTAGAATCATTACCTGCTGGAATTGAACAAGTCATTAAAACACTATTTTTTGTCCTTTTTTGGTGATACTACATTTTGGAGAGACAAAAATCCTAATTTTTAGGTTTTCCTATATTCTCTATCTTGCATTTTAAAAATGTTTTCTTAAATGAAACTTCTGCCCCAGGAAATTATCCAATAATAGGCTTCAATCCAATAGAGTAGTTTAAAATGGATGTGCGTAACATCATACTGAAATTAAATACCCAACCATTAAAAAAAAATTAAATTCCCAACCATTTAAAATTCCCATTTTAGTTTAAATTCCCAACCATTAAAAAAAAAAAAACCCACAAAGCAAAAAGTCTGGCTGAGTGAATTAATACCATTTACTAATGCATAGTACTTTGTGACATGACCATAGAATATGTAAGACACATTCTACTATTGTTGTCTTTTCAGATTAACAAGGAGTTCAGTTGGTGTTAGTGGTAAATTATACATTGGTCTTCTGTGTTTCAGACACCTGACTACATGCAAACGTTCAGTTTACTCATACCACTAGAAACTTGAGATTGTAATTACAGCGATGGGACATCTAAGACAAAAGTGGTGCCCAAGAGGGTAATTTTCACACCTGAATCTTGGTTGTCTGGCTACCCAAATCCATAGAATATTTAGAAACGGAGGCAAGTTAAGATATTCCATGTTGCCAATCTGGGTCACCTACTCTGAGAGGCCTTCAGTAAGCACACTAGCTACTCAGATCTTCCCAATATATTCTTTCTGCACCTGATTTATTTCCTTCATGGCACTTACCATGATCTGTACCTGTGTATTTGTTATTTGCTTTCTTCACCACCAGACCAAAAACTCCATGACAGCAGGGACCATGACCATCTTATTTACAAAGCAGTATAATCCTATTGCTTAATAAGTACCTAGAACATGGTAGGTACTCAAGAAACAGGTGCTGAGTGAATGCCCAAATGACTGACAGATTCTGCTTGGGATAAACTTGCATTGATTCAACAGCTTTGGATCAAAACCATGACATTTTAAAATTATATTCCAGCCTTGCAGTTGTCAAGTAAAATTCTAGAGTTTAAATATTTTCAGTTCAATCAATAAATATTTCTTGAGTATCTACCATTTGTATGGCTTTATGTATGATATAAGCAATTTAAAACATGATTCTGACACTCAAAAACCAGTGTTTGATTAAGGAGCTTAAATAATTCTCCCTTAAATAATTTAATTCTCCCTTAAATAATTCCAAAATAAACACATGATGAGGTAAAAAAAAAGTCTCTTGGTTTCCTTTTCAGACTTATTTCCATGTTTTGGCAAAGGCTGTTTCTTCCCCCCAGCTTTTCCTTAACTGTAACAGGAAATCATTTAAGTTATCAAATGGCATTGTGGAATTCAAACTTGGGGTTTTGTTTTTTTTTCAGACTTTTGAAGGGTCACACCGTGTCTGTACCATGTTACGTGATACCCACAGTAAGGTGTGGGGCTGCTCTGAACAAGCAAACACAATAACGTGACCGCAGCAAAAACTTGTATATATCTGGAACAAATAAAGACAAAATGCCTCATTTCAATTCGGGTCTTGCTGCCAAACGTGTTGGGGGGAAAACTGGTCTTTAAAATTCTTTGGATATCAGAATTGAAATAAGGAACTGAGGAGCTGAACTGACTTTACCCAAAGACCTAGGACAATAATAGCAGCATCTAAGAGGCTGAGTGTGAGAGGCATCTGGAAAGACGCATTTAGGGTAGAGAGCAGCTTTCCTCTTTGTACAGGTTCTGCCTGTAAACTTGAGTTTACTCAGGAGAAAATAAGCTCTGGCCAAGATTGTTGTGGGAGAATGATTATAGAGAATACCATGGCATTAGGAGGTGTTACTGTTTGGATGGGAAGATTACTGCAAGAGGCAGAGAAATCAACTTTTTGGAGCCCTCCTGTGTGTTCATTAATTCATTCCACTATTAGTTCTCTGGAGTTCACCATGTGGCAGACTCCATTCTACAAAATGGAAAAACAGGTACACAAGACACAGTCCCCATCCTCTGGAATAAAGGGCTACTCTCTTTCGAATGCTCATAATGTGCTCACACCTAGGCATTCACCTACCTCATCTCATTACTTTAATTAGGATTCCAAAGGCATGGACTTGAGGTCCTGCTCTGCCATTTCCTAATTCAGGCTCAACAACTTCGCCGAGCCTCAGTTCCCTCATCTGCAGCATAAAGAATAATCACCCCATAGAAAGAACAGCTGAGAGGAAGAAATGAGATGCTTGAGAAAGAATTTTGAACATGAAGGGTGAAGGCTCAGAGAATCAACTTCCTGTAGATAGCGCCTTTCCTTGGCCTCCATTTCTTCAGAATGACCACCGTGTACAAGGCAGGCCCCATGCCAGGTCCAGAGCCACTCAGATGAGCCCGACTACGGACTCCCCTCGGAAAGCACAGAGTTTACTTGGAGCGGAAGTCTGGGCCACACAGAAGCTTCTAGAAGGAGGGAGTGTGACACGATGGTGTCACACAATGGGGACCTTCCCTCACGCAGGTCGTAGTGACCTCGGCCCCCTCTCGCCCGCACGCAGTCAGCAACGGCACCGCCTGAGACAAGAGACAGAGACCAGACCCTTCCACGCCCATCTGAAGCCCCCAAACAGGAATCTACTACCTGAGGGGAAAGTCCTGCCACAGCGTCGTGAACTTTTCCCGCTCAAATTCAAGCTTCTCGTTCCTAGGCTGATCACCTCCTGCAGCCAGGCCCAAGCGCCCACGCCCTCCCCACTTCCGCTTCCTCACTTCCGAGCCCTCACTTCCGGCCTCTCTGGGGTCAGGTGTCCGGTGCTCCTAGGGCATCTAGCAAGGGGGACTCGAGGAGTTAAAATGACCGAGTTCTTTCGTGGGGAGGGGCGGATATCAAGTGCAATGAAGGCACATGTCTTCGTTTAACAGTCGCTGGGGCTGTGATGCTGCCCTCAGGCTCCTTTCAAAGAAAAATTTTACAATTTGTGTTACTAATGTATTTTGACGAGAGGGTGTCCACCGCTGATCTCCACCTCAAACGACAAAGAAGGTAATGGTCTTTTGCTAGGGCCGAAAAGAGTTGTGTGTGTGTGATGGGCAGTGATGGAGTGTCTCCAGGGAGGGCCTTGCGTACCACTGATGGGTCGTCGTTGAAATATTTAACTGATCTTCAGTGAGCGCCCCCTCTGTGCCAAGCACCCCACCGAGCTGTAAGGACCCAGAGATAAAGCATGAGTTTACAGGCTAGCGGAGGTGACAGGCACCCTCACGGAAGACTGTGACAAGATATGTATCTTGTAATAAGAGAGGAGAGAGCATCTAATTCTGCCAAGGAGTTTATTAAGGGCAGGTTTCAGAGAAGACTTTACATCTGTATCTTAAAGGATGACAGGGAGTTCACTGGATAGACAAAGTGGAAGAGGCCATTAGAGGCAAAGGACACATCATGTGTAAAGGCTTGAAAGCTGAGAGAGCCTATTATCTTGGTAAAACTACAAGTACTGTAGTTACTATGGCTGTCTCAAAAGCTATTAGTGGAACAGCAGAGGGAGATGAAGTGGCAGAGGAAATTCAGATCATGAAAGACCTTGTCTGTGCTGCTAGGGGACTTTATCTGGTAGGCATTGAAAATATAATCAAACCCATGTTTTAAAAGCACTTTATCTGGTAGGCATTGAAAATATAATCAAACCCATGTTTTATAATCAAACCCATGTTTTAAAAGGCTGGCTGTGTGGACTGTGTCACTATTCCACCAGGGTGGAGGGAAAAGACTTAGACAATAGAAAAACTCTTCATAGATGAAAGTAACATTTGTTTTTAGCTCCTACGACTTCAATCATAATAATTATTATAATAGATATCATGATCGATACTGAAGTGCAGTTAGGTAATTATGATATAAAATGGTGGAAGATATGAAAGAAGTTGGTGTGTTTGAAATACTACTTAACTGGCTATCATATAGTGTAGTGGGCATAGTAGCCAGAGGGAAACTAAAAAGGGTGGCCTGGAAACAGATTGTTCAGGGCCTTGAATGCCGCGCTAAGGTGTTATTCTATAAAATAGTGGGGGACAAACAACAAATATTTTGTTTATATAGTGAGTTATAGTTTATAAAGATTTTTTCGAGTCATAGCTTATGTAAATTTCAAAGGAACTCTGAAAAGTAGGTATAATTATTCCATTTTACAAATGAGGAAGCTGATTTGTGGGAACATGCATTCATTCTACATTATTGAGCACCTGCTAAGTGCCAGGCACTATGCTGAGCTATGGGAATACAAAGAAGTAATAGTCTAATTAAAAAGACAAAAATAAATTAGCAATTATAATAATGCTTTGGGAGTAAAAAGAGGATTTGCCCAAATCTACATAATTAGAGAAGTCTTCCTGGAAGAGGTGAACTTGGGCTGAGTTTGAAGGAACAAATAGGTTACATGAATTGCTCAGAAACATTCAACTAGCAAGCGATTTAGCTAGAACTTGACCCAAATTTGCAGTGTCCAGTTCTGTGCCCTTTCCTCTACCCTAAGGACTAATTTTTGGTTCTTAATGTTGAGCTCCACCAATGTTCTTTTTTTTTTTTTTTTAAGTATTTTATTTTTAAGTACTCTCTACGCCCAATGTGGGGCTCAAACTCATAACTCCAAGATCAAGAGCTGCACGTTCCACCAACTGAGCCATCCAGGCACCCCTCCGTTGACATTCTCAGTCACAAATCATAACTTGTTACATTTTGAAAACATTGGAGATCCATTTTTTTTCCTTTTTAAACCCATTCATTGCCTCCTTTTAGAATGAATCTTTGGGTGTATCTGAAAGGATGTTGACTAGGCTCAGCAAAACTGTAAAGTGTTACCTACCTAGTGGAATTAACTTCATTAAAGTAACATGAAAGGTCCTTCTTCTCTGCTTTCTTCCATTTGGGGGCACCATAATTTAGTTGCACTCTCTAAATACGGGCATGGTTTTACAATAATAACTTGGTGTGTTGTTTTTTTTTTTTTTCCCGTGAACTCAGAGTTTGATTAAAGTGAACAGAGTTTTCTTCACTTGGTTTCCAGGAAACCATTGCTCCTTCTCATCTCCTTGGCTGGTTTCTTCCATTTCTCTGACCTCTCAACTTTGAAGGGGTCTGTTCTCTATCAGTATTCATTCCCTGGGTGGTTTCATCCAGTTTCATTACTTTAAATAACCTTTTCTCTCAACAGCTCTCAAGTTTTTATCTCTAGCCCTAAACTCTCCTGACCTCCAGACTCATATCTATCTTGACATCCCCAGTGGTATGGCTCATAGAAATCTCAAACTTAATACGCCACAAACCAAGCTTCTGATCTTTCAAGCTTGTTCCCCTGTCTCAGTAAGGACACATCCTTGCTTCTGGTTTCTCAGGCCATGAGCTTTGTAGTCATCGTTGGTGCCACTCTTTGGCTCTCAGACTTCACATCATATAATCAGCTCACCTTTAATGCAGGGTGGCCACCAATGCAGTTGATAGGTGATAAATGGTTTATTGATCCCACATTCTAATTCATGAAAAAATAATAATATTTGTGCTTCCAGACTCTCTGGTCACCCCATATATTCAGAATGTAGTCATTTCCCATCACCTCCACTTTCCACCACCTGTCCTAAGGTGTGCCTTCTCTTGTGAGGACTACTGCAGTAGCCTTCTAACTGGTCTCCCTGCTTCTACCCTTGCTCCCTTACAATTTAATCTCAATACAGTAATGAGAGCTGTTCTAAAACCTAACCCCAAATTAGACCATGTTCAAAATCTTCCATTGGCTCTCATCTTAACTCAGAATGAAATCAAAGACCTTGCCATGGCCAACAAGGCCCTATGTGTTCCAGGCTCTGTTCCCTCTCTGACCTCCATCATGACTGCCCCCCCTCCTTACTCATTGCATCAAGCTTGCTTCCACCATAAGGCTTTGTACTTGCTGGTCCCTGTACCTGCCTACTCTTTCCCTAGAGAGCCATCAAGCTGGCTGCCTCACTTTGTTCTGGACTTAGCTCAAATATCCTTTGATCTCCCAATAAAATTGCCACCCTCCACCTGGGCTACACTTTCTCTAACTCTTTCCTCATTTTATGATTCTCTGTAGTAGCACAACTATCTGACATACATAATTATTTCCCTCTCTGCCAGAAGATAAGATCCAGGAGGGCAAGGACTATATTTTGTTCACTGCTCTATTCCCAGCCCCTCAGGACAGGCCTAACAGACTAGGTATTCAAACAGTATTTACTGAATGAATGAAACAAGAATGTCTGAATCTGTACTATTGAATGAAAAGTACACATTTTACCATAAAGGTAAATTAAACATAATTATGTACAAGAGGTTCTGATATTAGCAATGACCCCTCAAATGGAATTGCTGAAAAATTGCAAATAAGTATGGTTTTAAAAGAAAATTCTCAAGAATAAATAAAAAAATAAAAGAAAATTCTCTATTATGAGTAAGTCCACATTTCACAGATTCTTAAATCCTCGCAATTTTGCTGATATTTTCTGAGTGTCCCATGACTGTGAGGACTGAACTAATGGCATTCTCATATTAGAGTCTTTATTCTTAGGTTCTGCCTCTGCACTTGTTCAATGACGAACATCCGTGAAATAAACCACTAGAGTGGCCTTGCTGCCCTCTCCGTATGCTCTGTAACACATCTGTAGATCATTGCTTGCTGCCGAAATAACTTCTCTTTGAGATTTTCCTGTATTGCATTTCTGCCCCACTCTTGAAAGGGGAGGGGTTCTATTCTGCTCCCTGGGGGGATAGTACCCTGTGGAAAAGTAGCTTCCTCATTAGGATGCAAGCTGAGAACTCCATGATTCTTCCTCTAGAACACTGTTTATCTTTCCTCCTTTCTTCACACTCTCCAGCTGTTGGCATTTAGGACCTCGCTGATCAACCACTTCAATACCACTGACTTGGGATTTGCTCCATGGCCAGAGGATTTCAGTGTCTGACAACTAGCTATGAAGCTGCTGGGCATCATGATATTGGGTCCAGGAATGCCCTTAGACCATGAAGACTGAAGAACACTGAGGCCCACATTAATATGTTTATTGTTTTAAAGTCAGGGACATGCTGTTGCCTTTAAAATTCTATCTTTATAGCATGTGGAAATAGTGAGGAACCTGTTCAGACACAACTCAGGTTTAAGAAAATTGAACAAACTTGCATTAACAGAAAGAAAATCCTGTATTAAGGAGTTAAGAATAGCAAATTCTTTCCTTTAACTCATTCAATAAATATTGAGCACCTACCGTGACCAAAGTACTCTGATGATTTCAAATCACATTATTCTTTTCTATTTCAGTGAAAGTGTTGAGCAGTTATTACCAAGGAGAAATCAACCCCCCCAAAAGGAAATTTCTAACAAGATTTAGATATAAAAGGGGTGAAAATATTAAAAAAAAAAAAAAAAAGGTATCATCTCACCATATAGAATAAGTTTAAATTTTAGAACTCCAAACTGAGTCTTCTGTGATACCTTCCTTCTTAGCCTTCAAGGAATTAATGCTGGGAACATCTCGTGAGCCAGTATTTCCCTTTCTTTTGGGCTCAAATTCTTACTGGAGCCACTTAGCTCCAGTAAGGAGGCAGTGTGGTAGTGAAGCAGGTGGCGGTGTCTCTTATGTCGTGCAAAAGATGCATTGTTGGCAATCCATTTCTAGTAAGAGCAAAGAGAGGAAGAGGTCTTCACAAGTTACACTTGGCATGGGACCCTAAAGGGAAGGAGGGCTCTCACAAATTTGAAGGTAAGAACTAAGGAGGTTGGCAATGACAAAAATCTTAGGTCAGTGAAAAATCTTTAAATCCCAGAAATCCTTTAGCCCAACCAACTCAGAAGAAAGGAAAGTCCCCAAGATCTAAGGAACCAGTCCCCGCTCTTGCCTGACTGGCAAACCTGGGGTTAGAAGTCATCCTGGTTCAGAGATTTTCTTCTTTTGTTTTTTGTTAAGGGTCATGTTATGGACTAAGAGTAATATGGGCTGAGTGAACTAAGAAAGCATCTTCTCTGGGATTTTAGCTCTGTGCGTGATCCCAGGGTGATATTAAATAAGTTCCCTGAAGAAGTCCTAAATTTTTCTCTGGAATCTTGGATGTACTGGGAGAGAATGAGAGTTTTCCTTCAGAGCAGCGGCCTATTGATGAATCGTCTCCAGGATTTGAAATTTTCGTATGTGAACAGAATCGTTCGGAGGGAAATTGTTAAAATTGAAACCAAGCATATAGAAGCAAAAGTGCTTCAGAGAACCTCCTGCATTTTAGTTCAACTCTGGCAGCAAGAAAACAAAACCACATAATGTAAGGCTCACACCCAACTCTCTGAAGCCCGGTTTCTGCTAGTTCCTGTGTGGTTTGCCTACAGACTGCAGGGCTGGCTAGGGGCAGTTTGGAGGAGGGAGTAAGAAGTTAGGCAGGAGGAGGCACTATTAATGGATCTGTGAACTTGTACGCTATTTTAGTGTGGTCCTTGGAAGACAGCACAACGTGGATCTGTACTCTGAAATGCAGTAATTTTGATGTTTGACTTTGTCTTCCTTCTTGGAAGAGAAGATACTATTAACTCAGTGTCAAAGCCAAGATATAGACTCCATCTCTTCTCTTCAAAAAGGTATGTCATTAGACAACATCGGGCCATATACTCTATAGAGATCTTGAACTGTTTTATAATTTGCAGAATGTTCTTTATGAGTCAAATCTAATTAAAATGAATCCCATGGGTTCTTGAAATATTGCTACTCATATGTTGGTCCATCCGCGAAGGTCTGTAAATCTTTTGCCGTAACAATGCTTGTGGGGATGGGATTCGACTTCCAGCAAAGGAACTTGTTCCTTACCCAGCCCAGCACACAAAATTCTCCACTAATTGGCTTCTGAGCTATCCCAGGGGGAACTTTAGACCCATCACAAAGGTAAAATCCCACCTCTCCTTAGTCAGCCTTGAAACCCAGTTGAGGGTGGGGATGAAGGTCTGGGCAACAATGAATGAATGTTGGCACTGGGGGCGCAGGATTGCTCTCTTACTTACATCTCTACTTCTCTTAGAATTTATGGTACCTTTACAAAGAACACCACTTTGAACTTCTTTACAAAAAGAGAACTTTCTGTTGAAATAGGTTTTGAGAGAGTATTGTTTATTTTTGTCTCTTTATTAATAATTAGCACCATATCCCTAAGATGGTGTCCAGTTCAGGCATTGAGTCTGAAGACAGCTCCTCCTTTGTGCTCTTTGCCCCAAACACTCTTGAATATGAGGGTTGAGGATACCCACCAAGGACTCCACTAACTTAAATATACCGTGTTTATACAACTGGAATGAGGCCTTGTTAATAAGGTGTAGGTAACTTAACCTGCGCATTACTGAAAATACTCATCCCCAGATAAATTAAGAGGGAAATGTTTAGGATCTAAAAATCTGATGAAAAAGATTACATGTGCTCATGTTATGTCATCTGAGCATAGGAAATCTCAGGCTGAAGTATCTTTTGTTCTATAAAGCTGCATTTATCATAGACTGGTAAGTTCCTTAGTGGGACTTTTCTTTCTTATTTTTTGTTTCATAAGGAACATTTCGTGTAAGTAGACACTGCTTGAACAACCCAGTATTATTTATAAAACTTCATGTTTGTAATATAATTTTAAGGCAAAGCTCTTTGCAAAAGTATCCACTATTAAATAAAGAGCACTGTGTAAATACAGAACCATCAAAGGGCATTTAAATTTCAAGTTTTAAAAATCATGATTTGTACTCCTTTTGATTTGTTTTTCTGTTAAGAGAGAAGGCCTGTATCATTGAATAAAACTACCTTTTTAGACTGGACTTGGAGTGCCTTCCTTAGAGGAAACTGTAAGCTTGTTTCCCTTAAATTGTAATAGGTTTTATTTTTTTTAAATGACTTTACTGAAGCAGAGGGGAGGGATGCTATTGATTTGCTCAGTAGCGATCTGAGTAATATCCCTATTGCTAACATGATATTCTTTTGAGTATCTTCCGCATCTTACGCCCTGATGAAAATCTCTTTTATTCTTGTATTTCAGTTGTTCTTTCTCTACTTCACAGGGATACTATGAGAATAAATGAGCTCCTATAGATATATGAAGTGCCTTAGGAAAAAGGCACTATGAAAATGCAAAATTGTATCATTATTAAATATTTCTTTGAATATCATTTTCTTTCTACTTTTATACAAAATATATCTCACTTACTACCTGAAGCCATCTCTTTTTTTAGAACCATTGCCTTCTGGAAGAGTGAAAATGATCCCCAATTCTCATAAGTTTATTGATTCTCAGAGAATAATGCCCACTGGTGTTGGTGCCTTGTGGCGCTCACGCCTTACCTTAAGCAGAACTTGCCTCTTTCCCTGAACCAAAAAAGTCCACAATTGTTCAAAAATGTGTCATTGAGTGTGATTCCATCAGGAATTCTTAAATAAGTAACGGTTCGCTGCTGGTTTAGTCCTGGGGCCAGATTCTTTATTTTCATGCTCTCCTAAAACAAATTCAAAATGTGGCAAGAATCTTTGTGATCTGTTATTTGAATCAAAAGATAAAGTTGATTGGCCCCCATTTTGTCCATCTCAAGATTTGCTAAAGCATATATTGATCTGGAAAGGAAGAACACAGCCTCATGTGTTCATTCTTTCTTTCTTCCTTCCTTTCTTTCTTTCCTGGGATCTTAAAATTCTCAGGAACAAAATAAATTTAACAAATAAGCACTTATAAACATTTATTGAGCTTTCATTATGTACCAGGCCCTGTATTAGGCCCTAAGCACTCTTCAGCATTGCTATTAGGTTTCAGTAAGGTTAGGCCAGTAAAAATTCAGTAAGTGATTTTTAGAAATTTCTTTTTAGATATGTATTCACAGACAATCATTATAGAGAACTAAAAGAAACTATTACTAAGTACATGAAGATAAAAATCTCATATGCTCTCCAAAGAAGATGTAAGACATTCATGAAGAAAGTGAAGAAAATGTCCAAACAAAAAAAAGCTGAAATATTAGTACAATGAATACCTCTATACTCACCTGTAGGCTCACAAGCCGTTATGTTTCTGCCATATTTGTTCCATCTTTGTGTATTTCTTTCTGAACTACTTGTAAGTTACAGACAAAGTGACACTTCGTTCCTAAATAATTGGGTACACATTTAAGAATGGGGGCATTCTCCTACAGAACCATAACAATGTGATTATACCTAAGAAGACAGACAGTAATTCTTTAGCATGATCTAATATTTAGACCATATCTAAACTTCTCCACCTGACCTCCAAAGCTGTCTATACCTTTGAAGAAAAAAAGTAGGGTCTAATTTTTATAAAGAAAAACACATTTTGACATTTGGGCTTTATATCTTTTTATTGTCATTGGATTTTTTTCTTTATTTTTAAAAGATTTTATTTATTTATTTGACATACAGAGATCACAAGTAGGCAGAGAGGCAGGCAGAGAGAGAGGAAGGGAAGCAGGCTACCTGCTGAGCAGAGAGCCCGATGTGGGGCTCGATCCCAGGACCCTGAGATCATGACCTGAGCCGAAGGCAGAGGCTTAACCCACTGAGCCACCCAGGCGCCCCCGTCATTGGATTTTTTAAAGGGTTAGGCCAGTTATCTTGAAGGATGTCCCACGTTCTGGATTTGTTGTTGCCTCATGGTGTCATTTAATTTGCTCGTCTACCCCCTGTATTTCCTGTAAATGCCCACGTCTGGCCTACGCATTGATTAGATTTCGATTGAATGTCTTTTATAAGGTGCTCCATATCGCATCTCATCAGGAAGCACAAAATGCCAGGTTGTCGCTCTATTTGTGACTCTCGGTTTGATCATGGCTCGCGGTAGTGCTCTCACTCCAGGGAGCTCTCATTGTAAAGGTAGTTTTTCCGCTTTTGCAGTTAACAAGTTCTCCGAGGGGGTGACGCTTCGACACTGTGGTAGTATCTTACTTCCCAACAAATGTCACCTAATGGCTTTAGGTGATAATCCTTGCCAAAATCGACTGCTCCACTGGGGATCATATACATTTTTAATGCACTTTGAAGAAGGATTAGACATACAAATTCATCATTTTTAGCAGCAATAGCAGATATTATTGACTGTATAAATTCAGGCTATAATTCTAACAACAATAGTAAGTAACATTTATTGAGTGCTTGCTATGGGTTTGAGGCCAGTCCTCCAGCTACTAACTGGGCCAGATAGGACAAGTTAGTCTTTCTGTGCCTTAGTTTCTTAAGCTACAAAAACGAGGGTAATAATGGTACCTGTCTTATCGTATTGTTTTAGAGACTCAATAGAGTTGACCCTTGAACAACATGGGTTTGTTTGTGCAAATCCACTTACACTCGGATTTTTTTCCTATAAATACAGTGCAGTACTGTAAGTATATCTTCCTTATAATTTTCTCTTTTAAAAAATATTTATTTATTTGAGGGGCACCTGGGTGGCTCAGTGGGTTAAAACCTCTGCCTTCGGCTCAGGTCATGATCCCAGGGGCCTGGGATCGAGCCCCAGATCGGGCTCTCTGCTCAGCAGGGAGCCTGCTTCCCCTCTCTCTCTCTGCCCGCCTCTCTGCCTACTTGTGATCTCGGTCTATCAAATAAATAAATAAAATCTTTTAAAAATTTTTATTTATTTGAGAGAGAATGTGAGCGAGCATGAAAGGGGGAAGGTCAGATGGAGAAGCATGCTCTCCTCTGAGCAGGGAGCCCATTGTGGGTCTCGATCCCAGGACCCTGGGATCATGACCTGAGCTGAAGGCAGACATTTAACCAACTAAGCCACCCAGATGCCCCTTTCCTTATGATTTTCTTTTTTTTTTTTTAAGATTTTTATTTATTTATTTGACAGACAGATCACTAGTAGGCAGAGAGGCAGGCAGAGAGAGAGGAGGAAGCAGGCTCCCTGCTGAGCAGAGAGCCCGATGCAGGGCTCGTGCCCAGGACCCTGAGATCATGACCCAAGCTGAAGGCAGAGGCTTAACCCACTGAGCCACCCAGGCGCCCCTCCTTATGATTTTCTTAATAATATTTTCTTTCCTTTAGCTTATTTCATTGTAAGAAGACAGTGTATAATACACAGAACATGCAAAAATGGTGTTAATCGAGGGTTCATGTTATTGGTAAGGCTTCTGGTCCACAGTTGTCTACTGGTAGTTAAGTTTGGGGACAGTCAAAAGTCACACACAGATTTTTGACTGAACAGGAGGTGGGGATGGAGGGCAGTGCCCCAACCCACACCTATTCAAGGTGCAACTGTAATGTATACTTGTAAAGTCCCTAAAATGGTGTCTGCTAGTGTTGTTTGCCCAGCACGGGTCTATTCCTTTATAGGTATGAACTCATTTGCTTTTCATAAAGACCCAAAGAAGTAAGGGCTATGTTATCCTTCTTTTGCAAGTGAGGAAGCACAGGTGCAGAGAGGTTAAGAAACTGACACAAGGTCACTTAATTAGTATGTGGTAGAGTCTGGATTTGAACCCAGGCAGTCTGACTGCATCTCCGAAGACTGGAACCCGTAATGAGAGATGACAGAAATGGGACTGAATGGGAAGCAGTAATGGGACCTCACGCCACCCAGGTTTTAAGTTACTCTAAGTTATTGAAAGTCTGG